GGCACAATCATGCTTCCGCAGGCACATTCGCTGTATAACGATTGCTGGTGCCGTGCATCTGTGCTTGCGCAAACACACATGCGTGTTGCAAAAGCAAAGAGTTCGTGGTCATGCCTCGGCGTGCGGTGACGTTTTCATTGAGCGTGCGCAACTACCAGTCTGTTGCACAATGTATGTTCCGCTTGGGGTCGTAGGAGGTCGATGTGTTCATATGATTTCTCTCATTTGTGTTGTAGACCCTTCGTCCCCATCTACTGCTATCTGGAGTCATTCTACATGCTTGCGCACACACATGTGTATACAGAAGGCAGGACTTCGTGGTCGCAGTTTCCGTTTGCGGGGCTTGCGTATGTTTCTTCGATTGCGCCAGTGCATGTTTTGTAAGCACACACACACACACCTGTTTGTTTCAAAAGCAAAGACTTCGTGGTCGTGCCTCGGCTTGCAGTGACATGTTGAGTGAGCGCGCGCAGCTACCAGGGTGTTGCACAAAGTTCTGTTCTGCTTCGGGTCGTAGGAGGTGGATGTGTGATCATGTGCTTGCATGCACACACTTGTGTCGCAGACCCTTTGTCACCATCTGTTGTGTGGGTGTGTCGGCAGAGAGACTTGTGTTGCAGCATTCTATCTGGGGTTATTCCATATGCTGGCACACACACATGTGCATTACAGAAAGCAGGAGTTCGTGGTCGCAGTTTCCGTTTGCAGGGCTTGCGTATGTTTCTTCGAGCGCGCCAGTACATGTGCGGCAAATAAAGCAATCAATCATCCGCTGTCACGGGTCCCGTGACGGCGACTGTGCAGACATGTCATTTGAATTATGAGGAGTCCTAGGCTCTTTCGCAGTGTCCGTGTACTGCATAATCGTGTCCCTTCCCGAGGCACGAATTCGCTGTTGCTGGTGCGGTGCATGCGTGTTTGCGCGCACACACACATGTGTGTTGCAAAAGCAAAGAGTTCGTGGTCACAGGCGACTGCGCAGACATGTGTTTTGAATTGTTTGGAGTCCGTTGTAATGGGCTCTTTCGCGGTGTTCGCATGTTGCACACTCGTGTCCCTTCCAGCGGCGCGTGTTCGCTGTCACGAGCGTTGGTGCCGTGCATGAGTGTTTGTGCGCGCACGCACACATGTGTGTCTTGCAAAAGCAAAGAGTTCGTGGTCATGCCTCGTCTTGCGGTGACATTTTGATTGAGCGCTGGAACTACCAGTGTGTTGCACAAATTGTTGTTCCGCTTGGGGCGCACGTGTGTGTTGCAGATCCTTGGTCACCGTCTGTTGTGTGGGTGTGTCGGCAGATTTACTTTTGTTGCAGAATTCTGTCCAGGGTCACTCCATATGATTGCGCAGACAATGCATGTGTGTTACAGAAGGCAGGAGTCTGGAGTTCGTGGTCGCAGTTTCCGTTGCGGGGCTTGCGTATGTTTTTGTCTTCGAGCACGCCAGTACATGTGCGGCAGAAGCAAGCAATCATCCGCTGTCACGGTTCATGTGACGGCGACTGCGCAGTTATGTTTTTTTGAGTTATAGATAATAGGAGCCTGTTGTGATAGGCTCTTTCTCGCGCTCCGTGTGTTGCACGCTCGCTGCCAGAGGAGTGCGTTCGTTGTCACAATTGCTGTCGCGGTGCGTGCGTTTTATTTGTGGGCACACACATGTGTTTGTTGCAAAAGCAAGGAGTTCATGCCTCGGCTCGTGGTGAATTTTTTTGTCGCCAGTACATGTGCCACACAGAAGCAAGCAATCATTCGCTGTCACGGTTCCTGTTACGGCGACTGCGCAGACATGTGTTTTGAATTGTTTGGAGTCCGTTGTCATGGGCTCTTTCACGGTGTCCGCGTGTTGCACACTCGTGTCCCTTCCAGAAGCGAGCTTTCGCTGTCACGATTGCTGCTGCAGTGCACGTGTTGTATTTGCGCGCACACACACACACGTGTGTTGCGCGAAGATCAGGTTGCAGTTCCTTGGCATCCCTGTCGCCGCGTTAACCGTCTCATCCGACGCCGTCCAAAATGCACCACCTTTCTCTCTGATGGCATTGTAAGCCTCGCTGCTCAAGTCGAAGAGCTTGGAGGAACCCGCAGGCTTGTACCTGAAGCTCTTGAACTCAATGACTGTTGGGTCCGTCCTTTGGCAGTCCGTGCAGCAAGTTGTCATTCAACATCAAGAGATTTCAGCAAGATTCTCGTGACAATCGACCCTGACAAGTTCGTCGTTCATCCTACGATGCAGTTGGTCGACGCCATCAAAGGGGCGTTCCACAGTGCAGACTACCACAACCTTCGATCCATCGTCGAGAACGGCGTTTTGCCCCGCACAAACGTCGACGAAAGTTCTTCAGGGAGACTACACAGTCATTTTAGTGTCTATGCTCCGTGGGACAAGTGCAGCCGGATCACAAAGTACAGGGTACAAGGGAGTAAGTCCCGCCTTTGGCGGTTCTTTACGTCCCTACCTCGGAGCTTCTTCGGTTAGGAGGCAAACTGAGGAAAGCGGCATGATCGTAGTCAGTCGACAAATTCCGTTCAAATTGTCAAAGAAGTATGGTTTCTGTGTTCCGTACTCCAACTCTCAGTGCAGCTTCGAGTCCATCGAGAAGCTTCTTGACTACGAACTTGAGGACGGGTGGCAGTGACGTATTTGCCGTCACCAATTGTCAGCAATTCCAGGATGACCGTACTCCTCAGAGCTTATGAGTGTTCTATGCGAATTTTCAAGTGGACAACATGATGCTGCAAACGAGTGATATCTTCGACTATCTTCGACTTCTATCAGAGCAAACGGATCCTCAAAATGGAGACGTTCGCAGACATCACCTCATCAGGGAGGTCACCGAGTTCGCCACCAAGAACATGCGACCCGAAGAACAACCTCGGAACAATCGGGACACAATGATACGGCACAGATTATGCTTGATGCCTCGACTTGGTACCATCATGTCGGGCTTTTTGCGCCAAGCGCTTCTCCACATTTCAATCATGCGGCAATTTCCAGAGAAACACTCCAAAAAGGGAGTCTCCATTGGAGATCCCTCGTGCCGAAATTGCCCATGCTATGGAGGCAGCCACCGCCGCTACATCTTCCAATGCCAACCTCGCAGAAGAACCAGACGATGATGTTCGTACTTTGGCGAAACCCGAAATGGAAGTTGACATCGACGATGCGGGTCACGAGAACCAACCTGATGAAGAACAACAAGATCCTGATGCGAATGAGAATCAAGACGAGGTCGCAGAACGGCGTCTGTACTTCTCGAAGAGAACATCCATATCATCAACCCTGTTCTTGCCCAAGCAACAATGGCGGTGCAAGTACCGTACTATCCCAAAGTTCAGGACGCGTACTGCATCGACCCCAAATCTGTTTCCTTCGCATACACGTCCTACATCGTTTTGCAATGTACGTACATGTCGTGGGTGAATACCATGCGATGGGTTGACCTGACTTACGCGCAGATGGTTGAAGGATTCGCAAGAGGTTATCGCTCTGATGTTCTTGGGTTTTGGCTTCCTCTTTCAGAAATCGACGACAACACCAAATTGAAAGTTTCCAAAGACGTCACCGATGAGGAGATCTTGGCCTATACCAGAAGTTTGGAAGACGCTACCGATCCTGACGGACAGTATCTCTTTCACAAATTCCGAGCCAATCAATTGCCCTCGAAGCTCACGCGCGGTGCTCGTCAGATGGGCATGCAGCGCACGGCCTTCAATCCTCTCCCAACTGCGCTATCGCCACTGTTGATAGGCTTTTATAGCGATGAAAGGGGGCAATCAGTCCGAGAGATGCATGCCAGCTGTTATTATCTCCGTCAGATCCTTGTGGCAAAGGTCATGGGAAAGACTATGTTGTCAGTTTTGCGGCAACCGCCAGTGGGCAAGCATGGTTTCCTCTACATCGATCCTGTGCGAGTGATTATGATGCTGGGTGAGAAGAGCCTTACCGGCGCTATCCTTGAATTGTTGGCCAACTCTGACATCGTCATACCGGACCGGCGAAGTACACGAACAGGCTGACCAAACAGCGGCTCAAGGTGAGACTTGATGCCGAAAGGGCTCAAGGCTCAGGGAAACTGCCAATAGCTATCAGCTATCCTGTGATCCATTCGCATGTGTGTGTGTGTGCGCCTTCCCTCTGCATAAACCAGCACTGATCGTCAGCAAAGAAACAGAACGATCAGCGTGTGCCTGCTTCGGGCAAGGATTGAGAAGATATATCCACATTATCCAGATATATTAGGCAACCACAACTACAACATTACACTCGGTGAGGTGAGCTACATCGAACATATCAACACCAAGCCCTCGCGCACCACCACCACTACTACTACTACTACTACTACTCCTGCTGCTGCTGCGACTACTACTACTACTGCTGCTACTACTACTACTACAACTACTACTACTACTACTACTACTAGTATACTGCAATTGCAATTGCAATTACTGCTACTATTGCATCATACCATTATAAACATTGTGTTATTACTGCTACTTTTATTAATTGCGATTGCCCCGGTAGTGTGTTGTGATTGTTGCAAAAAATTATTGCAAGACATACTGTTGCCTCTTATCCAACGCCACCCCAGCTTGCCGCAGGACGGACTAATCCCCAAGAGCCGGTCGTTTGGCTGCATGGAGTTGGGAACATGTAGGGCTACAAAGTCGATCACGATCGGTTTGTTTCCGAAGAGATTTGTTGACTTTGGGATTTCGGCTGTGCAATCTTGCAAATCTCCCAAAAACTGGCTTGGCAGTGTTCTTTTCGGACAATATGGATAGCGCGTTTTGGTGATGGTATTAGGTTTCACGACATTCCGGGACATTGGATTCGAGCAGCAAGTTGTGGTGGTGTTTGGGCGATTTGATTTCGAAAAATTTTGCAGGAAGAAGGCATTCATAGCCGCTTGTTCAACCAACATCTAAACCGCAAAATCCCCAGCCCTCAGCTCTCCCGCAACCCCCGTCGCAGCCCGTAAGCTGACAAGACATTTTGCTGCGAGGATGGCCCCGGATCGCTCGCTTTATCGGGGCTGTGGCTCGTGCTGCAGGAAGTGCTAAGCCCTAGAGCCGAACAGCAGATCTGAAGCCGTGCATCACAACCTTTATTCCAAAGAAGCCAAAACATGTGGTTTATGCCTGGAGGTGTGTTGGTGAGGCTTTGTCTGAAGGTTCTCAGGGAAGTTTTGAGGTTTGCAAGCTCGCAATTGGCGAGATGTGGTCTGTACGCTGTCCTGAAGGTGGTTTAGGTATATATTTCAGAAAAGGACCGGGGTGAGTACTAAAGTTTCGTTCAGGTTCCTGCGGTTCTTTCTGTTTTTCCAAGTTCTGGGTTTTGCTTGATCTTAGTAGTTGTTTTCATGATTGGGGTTCGAGGGCTACGCTATTCTCTGATCCTTCTCCGAAGTCTAAGCAGAGCTTCTTGCATGCGGGTTTCATTGTGCAGCAACGGCCAGGCTCGCCGGCCGTGCGTCGAAAGACGTGCGTGCAGGACTTCTCCCAGGCTGGATGCATTCGTGCGACATGGAGTGGGGACACAGGGCCGAATTCATAGCTGTGAACGCTGAAGCCTGAGCTCAGCCCTTCTTTGAAGACCACTGTCGCTTTGAGGGCTCGAAGATCGCGAGCACTCGTGTGCCGCTGCTTTGTCGGTTTCCGGGGCTCTCGGAGGATTTGGATCGTCCTCCCCTCATCTCGGCCTCGGAAGTCTACTTCGATGAGGACGCACTTGTCACAGAGTCTCACCCGAGACCCCTGCGCCGCGGGACAACTGGAAGAACCCTGACAACAATAACGACTGTTACCATCGTGGCACCTTGGACTTGCGACTCTGACCACGAAGAGCGGCAATTTTACCCGCAGCTTCTGGAATTTCGTGAACCTTAGACTACCTCAGCCTTCCCACCTCACACCCCGAATCCCGCTGCGCCGCAGGAGGACCCGGACGCCAGCCAGAAGGCCTGGAGCTGCGGGAATCGTAGGAGTCCGAGTTTGAATCCTACTTCCTACCACAACGGGTACCTACCCTAATACCCCCCCCTCCCCTCTAATCCTTAAGGCCCGCCCACCCCCCCCTTGGTTTTCAGGCTCCGAGGGGGGCCTCCACATGGAAAGGGCTACAGAAAGCAACGTCGGGCGAGCATTGCTTTGGGGAGCTTTCCGGATATTCGTTGATGTTGGCGCTATTTAAGCTACTTCAGAGAGCAGGGGCGGTGAAGACCAGGATGAGCTTTCCGATCGTGATGATCGTCATGGTCACGATTCTCTGTGCGATCAGGAAGCTGAATCCCCCAGCCATGGCCCTTGGCCCAAAATAGCCTTCACTTCAAAGCCTTTCCAGGCCTTAGAGTGGCAGCTGTCCTTCGACACAAGCACCGCGAGCCGGGCCGTGCTGCCCCGCTGCATGTCCCCCTCCCTCGAGGCCGGCCCCTTGTTTTGGCCCGGCTTTGACTTGGGGTAGTTGCACCTGTTTCTTCGGGTTTTGTTCTTCCCAGAAGGGTTTCAGGGTTTCGGGGTTTTCTCGGCTTGCTTTCCAGGGTTTTGGCTTTTTGAGTTGTTCGCGCGCGCATAAGGTTCAAGGACAGGGCTCGCAGTCGTTTGCGGTGAGCGGGATGTAGACAAACTGTCGAGGCCCAAGCTCTCTTTGAAAAGAGGCCGGCCTCCCCCGGGACCGCGCGCTGAGGGGAGCGCGAATCCTGGGTTGCGACGCCTCGTTACAAAGGCCGGGTGTGCTGTTCTTCGGAGTGGTGCTCTTGGAGCGACATACGATTGTGGTTGTTGTCCTCAGTATTGCCGAGCATTGCCTGGGTTAGTCTGGGCTTTGGATTATAACGCTTCGTAGTATGACAAATGTTTTTGGGTATCGTAGTTGTTGCTGTTTTCTTGTATTACTGCAAACTGCAACTCCTGAAGCCCCAAAGCCGTGAAGCCAGAAAAGCCTAAACCCTGAAAAGGACCCCAAGTCTCCTCGGATTCCATTTCTCGCGGAACCTAAGCCCCTTCACCATGGCTCATGGCTAGAAACAGCCCTCGACCAACCAAGAATCGCGAGAACCTCCTCCTTTACTTCGGGAAGCTCTGGTGGAAGTTCTCCGTCACGGCATCTACGAAAGTTGGGAGTCCTTATCAGGGGGAGCCCGAAGAGGGGAACTAGCTTTGAATGACCCTCCTCCAGTTTGTATTCTGGTCTTGACGAGGAATTCGAACCCCCGCAATGAGCCCCGATCCCGGCTTCCCAGGGCCATGGGCATCGGCAGGGCCCTCGGGTGTTTGTGGGAGAAAGCTCTTTTTGCGCGCATGACAGAAGTCACAAAAGTATGAGGGGTAGTGCGAGCATTCAGACAGGCTGGTGAGGGGATTACATGTGATTTGTGGCCTCAGGGGATTCAAGAACTTGAATACTCAAGAGGCATCCGGCTTTCAGCATGAGGCTGAATTGCTGAGTTTCTTGTAGGATCCTGGCTGGAGGGTTCCTTTCTGGGTGTGGGCAGAGCTTTGCGGCATTTGTTCGGGCCGTGTCGGAATTCTTCGTGCAGATTCGCTGGAGACACCGAAGCCTGTTGCCCGACATAGCGGACCAATCCAAAGACGCACTGGACTCAGGCGTCCACAACAACCGGAGCATGGTAAGCACGGGCCCTCCCAGGGCCGAGTCAGGCCTGACAAAGCCCCCAAATTCTCAAGAAACAAGCTCTTTTAAGAGCTGCTCGCACTTCTGGTCGCACTCATTGCCGAACCATCCAATGCCAGCTCACCATCCTGATCACCCTAAGCCCTAAAACCCTAGAGCCCCCAAATCGCCACTGGCAGAGCTCCTAAGTCGGGCCCAGATCGCTTCCGAGAGACTCTCTGGATCCTGAAAGCCACAAAAGCCTGGGCGTAAAGCCACAAAGCTTTAAGAGGCCCAGGTACAAATGGCACGCTTCCTCACTGGTTTTGGGTTCGGGCGTTCACGAGGCAGTACGCGGAAGAGGATTTGGAGCCCGATTCATGTCTTTAGGGGTTTATAGGGTAAGAGGTTAGTGTTTACGGTTTAGGGGTATTGACGTCGACGGTGACACCACCAATCGAAACCCACGTGAGCAATCGCAGAAACTGCACCGAAGGCCTTGCAGTCGCCGCGGAGCTCGGCGAGCCGACGCTCAGCGATTCCGTTCCTGCCTCGGAGGGGCCTTCGGATTTGGGATCCTTCTTGTCTTCGCTTTTTGTCGGAAGGGCGGTTCACAGTTTGCATGCGTACGGTTTACGGGGTGTGCACATGGGTTTGGGGGTGCACGGTTTGTTTGCTGGCTTGCCCTCGGCTCTGGAGATGCGACGCGCGGAAGGGTTCAGAGGGTCAACTCCCCCATCCGCCCATCCCACCTGCGATTTGCCATTACCCCCAGTTTCCGAGCCCGAAACATCAAGAAACTTCCACTCATCAAGCACGATTCTTCGTAGACGCAAATATACAAAGGAGAACAGATAGAGAGAGAGAGAGAGATAGACATACATAGGCATACATAGTCACGCATAGACATGCATAGTAGGCATAGAGCTAGAGAGCTATTTGGGCAGAGAGGGGCAGAGCCTCAGCCTCAGATCTGCCGCGAGCGAACCGACCTCGGCCTTGCCTTCAAGCAGCAGTCGGGCCGGTGCCCGAATGACTCGGAAGCAGAGCCTCCCTGTTACCTAGTCTGTTACCTGTACCCCTCCGTAGCAAAGTTCGCAACGGTTGCACTTCCTGGCCCAACGGCTCTCTTCTTCGGGGCAGCTCTCGGCTTGCTGGGCTTCCGGATCTTGGGCTTCTGGTGCAAGGGATGCGTTTTGGGGTTTCTGGACATGAAGCTCTCTCCCGAGATCCGAAACCGAGCTGGGATCCAAATCGCACCTTCAGGTACAACGTCCCGTCACCGCTTGCATCCCGCGTGCACGGCTCCTTGCGACGGCCGAAGGATCAGGCGCTTCGATGATGGATCTTGGGCCAATGTCTTCACCCCAGCCCCGTTTAGAGCTACAGCCTCAAAGTTCTCGTGCCCAGGGCACCGGGGCTCCAATTCCATGCTTTTTTTAAGGGCTGCGGGCACCGGAGTTTAGGCTTCGGGAAGGCTTGGATATTCAGAAGGCCCACTTTGTCGCCCACACGCCTACCCTTGCACCTTGTGACTAGCTCTCTCACCCTCTCTCTCTCTCTCTCTCGCGCGCTCTCGCTCTCCCTCTCTCTCCCCTTCCCTGGTGGCAGGTCACCTTCAGCTTCAAGCGCACGTCGCTTCTTGGCTTGGCAGGGCAAGGGGGTTATAAGATCTCGATACACCGAGTCACCGTGGTGCTGTGGTGCGACTTTGACAGTTCCGGGCATCCGAGGCTTGGACTCGGGGCAGCGATTTTTTTTGGGTTTTTTGTTTCGGCTTCCTGCTCGCCTTCTCCGAAGGGTTTGGGTTTCGGAGGTTGGTCTTTGAGATTTGAACGCTTGGACTTCGACCCCCAAAGTATCACCAAGCTGTCAACATCCAGACTTGATTTCTTTCCAACTTGCTAGGAGAAAAGCCCTTCACACCATGATTGAGAGCGTGGAGAATTGGTAGTTTCCGTTCGAGACATCTGTGAAAACCCCCACGCCCGACATTCAAGAAAACGCAAACTTTCAGCGCCCCCAACTAAACCGCTCTAACCCCAACTCCTCCACCCTAACCCTCTAACCCTTGAGGAACCGAAACCAAGGTTTCCGGGCTTCACCAGCCGCTCTTCGGTGAAAAGGGCCACCTCCGCTTCTTGGCCTCGGCTCGAGGTTCCAGGTAGAAGGAGTCTTTATTCTTTAGGATTCCCAGATGTAGTGACAACGAAAGAATAGTCCGTCATATAAACAATCAGAAAGTCAGTACAAACAACAGTGTTCTTGGTGAGTGGTATTGTTAAAGTGATGGCCATGATGTGGATGATTGCTAGTGGTATTGAACATTGTGATACCTTTGCTAGTCCTCCCATGCTGTTACTTTTTGGCAGCAGGATTGGGGAGTTCTCGCTTACGATCTGAGGGCAAGGTGGCAACCGAAGCTTACAAAAAGGAATCGCGCGAAGATGCTAAACTGTGCTAAACTATGCCAAACTTTACACACTTCGCACTTCGGGGTCTTGTGTGGGAGTTTACCAAGTTCCTACAGTGTTGCCTCGAGGTTTGTTCATCACACATTGTGTTCATGGCGGTCCCGGTAGTGCGGGCCCTGTTGCGCAATAAACCCTAAGCCCTAAGCCCAAACCCTGGGCGCTAAAGAAGCCTGAACTACGTTGTTGGGTGTGCTGCCTGACTTAATGGTTTGCCCAGGCACCTCATCTCCGGCCAGATGGAGAGCCCGAAGTCGTCCAGTGAAGGGAGCTACATCCCTTCTTTCCAGCAATTTATGGCTGCTGATAGGAGCACCATCCCCAAACCCAGAGCCACAAACCCTAAACTCTGCAGGCACCTCCGAAGACAGAGTCCGCCCGAAAGAAACAGGACCCCCACCCCGAGGAGAGTAACTCGCAACCCGTTTTGTACTAATCTAGACTCCAAAGTCTTGAAACCAGTGCCTCAATGCAGCAGTCTTCCCCTAGCACACCCCAAAGCCTTCCTTTAATCGTCGGAGCTCTGTGTTGTTACTGGCGACCGCTGCCCACAGTCCTCAGCTCTCAAACCCCAGACAGTAATTAGTTTATACATGCTATCAACTCCTGAACCCTGACAAACTTCATTGCAGCAGGATCTTAGGCAACTCGGGGGTCTCCAAGGGACCCTGCTGAGTCAGATGGAACGCACCTCCGGGCAAAGAACCTCTTTGTACATGAGATATTCAGCTGCAAGCATCTGCAAGCTATTCCCGGCACCCGGATGTGAGTTCTGAATTAGCTAGTTATTCGCCAGAGGGCACCAGGAGACCAAGCGGCAGTGAGCGAGCGCTGAAGGGCCTGTCTAGATTCGCAGTGCTTAGAGGCTCGTTGGACTTGGGGAAGTGGGGTTAAGTGTAGAGTAACTGTAGCTATTGCTACTTATAACCCCACTAAAGGTGCTTAAAAAACTCCACTCTACTCACAGCTACCCAGCTACCCATGAACCTTTAAACAGTCTAAACACCCGTGTCTTGGGTTCGGACTGGCGCCGTCCAAGGCTCGCTTAAGCAAACTCGAAGAGTTTGCCGACTCCAGGTGGCTAGGGGGATGCTCCGTAAGAAAAAGTGTGCGCAGGCTTTGGGGTGAAGGGTTGAGAGATGAGGGTACTATGGGATGGCCGCAGCTGGAGAGGGAAGTTGTATCTACTGAGTTCGCCGGAGATCAAGTCCTGCCGACTGCAGGACTTGTCGAAGTGCTCTGCGGAAAGCATCCGCGAGTTCATCGCCAGGCAAGGTCAGGTTCTTTTCCCTTAAGTTCTTGAGTGCCGTGCTCGCAATCACGCTGGCACACAGTCTTCGCAGACACTTTGGAACGTAAAAAATGTTTCGCGGCGCGGGAGCACGCGACGTTTCCCCCTTCCGACGTCCGAACTTCAGGATTCGGAGTCTACTGTTCGGGCTCAGGGTTTCTTAAGTTACTCAGCGGCTGCAAAAGCAATTCCGGGTCGTGCCGACACTCTGGCCTCAGACATGACATGCTCGCCCCGACACAAAAGCTTCAGCATGAACCTGTCCCGTTCTTTTTTGAACCGAAGCTACAAATCAGGGAGTGCACGCCAGACAAGCTCACGGTCGCGGGTCGCTCAGTTGGGGTGCGCTCCGGGTCGCTGAGCGGCTTCGGGACTGAAGGCGCTGAGTCCCATTTGGCTTCTGCGGGTTTGGGGTTTCGGATTCCTCCGACATCCTGAAGTGTCGGGTTGGGGTCTCGAGTGTGAGGTATTCTACCAGGCCGGATGTAAAGAGCGTTTATGTTTAACGCCGCAACCCTCGAGCCCAAGACTTGACGCCCTAATAGTCCTTATCGATGAAACTGCTTACGGTTATAATATACCACAAAACTCTCATACAGCACTAAGACCCCATCATACGCCCCGATCTGAAGGACTCAAAGTGTGGTCGTAGAAGATGATCACAACGAGGTCGGGGTAAACGTTGCGTTCGATGAGCTCTGCAAGTGGACAGCTCGCAGCTTTGCCGAGCAAGGCAATCCGCCAAAGGGCAGGGACCAAGCAGACCCTAAACCCGAAGCCAAAGTCAAATCCCTGAACCCTAAATCCTCAACTTCAAGCCATACTCTGAAACATAGGTTAGCAAGCTTTTGCCCAGTAGTCGGACCTGGGTTTGTTGTGATTTCCGATTTTGATCGTTTGGGGATCTGGGCTTGGAGCTGACTGTTTGTGATAGCATAGCATCTTTTACTATACTACTCTTTTTACAGTATAGTAGTATACTACTATATAGTACAATATGTATGCTTAACGGATTTCCCTGTAGACACTGGGGACATGATTCTAGGTTTATTTATCCTTTGTTCATCATGTGGGTAGGGTTGGTGTTTATCATTTAGGTATCATTTTCTATCGTGTCTGAATCTGATTCTGGCTGGCTGCGATTATTATTGTTTGGTCCGATCCCCAAGTTCAGATCGATATCAAATTTAGGCGAAGAGTCAAATCCATTGCCGGCTTATCAAACATTGTCAAGCCCGCTCGTTAGTTGTGTACGGGGCAAGGCGAACAGGCACAACTTGGACAAATACTGGCCCTAGGCCCCAGACTGCGGCCATTCCACGAATGAGAAAGAAATGATACCCCGAATCCGAAACGGCAAAGACATGATAGAGACAAAACGATACCCAGAATCCGGAACGATAAAAAGGCTGATAAAGAAACGAGACACCGAATTCGGAAGGATGAGAACATGATAAAGAAACGATAAGGTGGATGCAGCAGGGCCCACGGCTGTTTATTATGAGGCTCGTGAATTCGGATGCGGCGTGTTCGCTTTGTCTTTGTCCGGAAGGACAGTCGCCCGCGCATCCCTTGCCCCCCTCATCCCACCCACAAGCCACTGATCGAAGAGGGCATGGACAGCGCTGATCAACAAATGATGAAATAATGACAAATAGTCTCAAATAGACCATAAACCCAAATGATAAAGACACGATAAACAAATGGCGAAAATCTTATGGGCTGGTTTCCAATCTGTACAGGCCAAAATTTCTCGTAAATGTACGGTTTATGTGTTTCTAGAGAACAGCGCTGACACTACATGCTTGGGGGTTGATTTCGAGATGTGAAGAGCCGACAGCCTGATCCCCAACTCTGGGCCCTAGTGAATGCTGGTGCTACTATAGCAGACTTTTCTTTAAGATAGTATACTGTAGACTATAGTATAGTATATTTTACGATACTATACCTTCCAGTAGTGTAGTATACTACAGTATTTATGCTTTGGTGTTGCATATCATGCTAAGCTACAGATTCTGGTGCTATTGCCTGCTAGCATTGGATTTGGGCTGGACAATGTCGGTGTGCGATGCTTGGGCAGCCTGGGGTGTAGGAGAAATCAACAGTCCAATCTTTTATAGTATAGTGTCGCTGAGCATAGAGTTTTAAGGCCCGTGGATGCTACAATTCAAACCCCGAGCAGCGACTGAACATGACTGAACAATAAATCCTTAGAGACCCCTGGACCCCAGCGCTGCCAAGTCTAATTAACAAGCTACAAGGTATGCCCTAAACCTTACACCCTAAACCCTCAAGCCCAACCCTAGAATCATGAAGCACCAAAACGCCGGCAGCACATTTCCAGCCAAGACCTCCAATGTACTTCAATAGACTCTGTTCGAAAACTACTACAATATAGGATGCTCGACTCTACTCTACGATGCAAACTATGCTATACAGGACTAGTTGCGTACCTTTGTACAAGCGACAAGAAACCCTAAACCCTAAACCCTAAACTCTAAATCTTAAACCCCAAAATCACCTGAGCCAGGTCCAAGCTTTTCGGGAGCGGCGGCCGAGGGCTCGTCGCCCCGCCGGGCAGCTCAGCGGCTTCGGGGGCCCGAGCTGCTTTCGGACCTGAAGGAATCAGCGGGATTTGGGAGACTTTGGGAGACTGAGAGAGTTTTGGGTTTAACGCTTTTCGGAATGGGGGGTTTGGGGCTTCGGGTTCAACAGTTTATAGCTTGGGGTTTAGGGCTGTTGGACGTCTTTGAGCTAGGCTTCTTTCGGGTCGAGATATCCGGTTAGCCTCTGCAAGCTCAGAGAACGAAAAGCTCTGCATCCTGGGCAAGCACCGATGTCCCAGAATCCACAGTCAACAACCGCTCCGTTCTTCAGTTCAGGGCCACAGGAGGCGGCTCAGGGTATACTGGGTGTGGAATTTCAGACCTCAAGTGGACAAGTGTTCTTGGGGTGTAGTTCGTTGAGAGCCCCATACTCCCCTGCCCGGCGCTCTGGTGAGGTGCAGACATGGCGCCTGCGAAGTACACCGGTGGGGAGTTGCGGATGAGCCGGCCCAGAGACCCAGCACAAAGTTTGCGGTTTGAGATTTTGAGTTTTTGGGCGGATGGGGGGGGTTCCAGGCCCCTGGGACCTGGGTCCTAAGCCCTCGGCTTGAGGCTCCTGCGTAGGTGTCAAGGTTCAGATTCTCAGTCCCGGCCGTAGCGTTTGGCTTGACGTCGCCATGCAGTTTGCCGAGATTCTAGCCTTCGGTATTTTCTGCGGAGATTAAGAAAAATTTGTGGCCGATCACTCGGAAGGCCAACTCAAGTAACTATTATTATTATCATTACTATTGATACTAATACAGTCATTATCCTGATCAGACTGGTAAGAAAACAGAAGAACAACATCATGAATAGGTTTCATGGCGTTAAGAAGTTCAGTCATCATCTTCAGAACACTATCAAACTGAACCTCTCCAAGTTCGAACGTAACCGAAAAGACTACTACAACCACCTACCACCACCTCATCGGGCTGACGAAGCGAGGCCGAACCCGCTTTGCCATCTCATCTTCGGCTGGGAGGCGCTTGGAAGCGCCGCCGGTAGTAGAGATACTAGATTTAGTGATTTAGCGGCTTAGGGCCGGAACTCTAACAGCCTTGGGGTTTAAGAACTGCAACCCCGCGCAAGCACTGTCGGCGCGCAGGTGCCCGGCGGGTGGAACGGGAAGTGGCTGGCAGCTGCCACGGTCGCCTGGCATGCAGCTTGAACGCCTTAAATTGACATCTGATCGTCGGAGCAGCCACAGGGCCATACATACTCGTCCTAGCTTTTGGTCGGATGTGATAAATCTGATTGACCCTGTTGCTGCTCCCCTCACATGCAGGTGCTTCAGATGTTCCTGGGCGGTGGTGGCAGCTTCTCCACCGGGGGCCCAGGCCCGCCTTCTACAGGAGTCAAGCTTTGAGGGGTAAAGGGACTTCACTGCCAACCCCTACGCTGGCAATGGAATCCGAAGTCCAGACCCTAGACCTCATCAGGGTCGTTCAGAATTTGTGTTTGAATCACAATTGAAAATTTCGGAATGATCAGGTGGCGGTTTGGCTTTGGGAAGAGTTTACGACGAATTGGTCCCCCAAAGTCAGCTGCAACACCCCCTGAATACTCAACAGGGTATACACAGTCGAGGACTGGACTGGTCATGGATTTTGTTGAGGAGTGGACCGGCATCTGGTTCTCCAAGTCTCCAAACGCAGACCTAATGTCGGGCACGACTCATCTGATTCGTGTTCAAATCTGGGTCGTTGTTTTTACAACAGGCCCTGCAGGAGAGGTCTTGGAGTTGTGATGTATAGCTCACGCTTTAGGCAGCTAGTTATGCTGCAGTTCGGCTGCTCACCGATGGGGAGATGCCAGAATCCAACGAATCCCCGTAAAGCTCTCCAGTTGGGGTGGAACAGTCGCAGCTTGGGTGTTATGTGTGTTGCCTCCAGAAGACTCCGTGAGAGAAGGCTGACAAGGTCCGACAACAAGAAAATTTCCCACCAGCTCATGCCTTTGGCTGGGTTAAGAGGTATGATAATGGTGTACAACTCAGGATCCATGCAAGACCCCAAACCCTAAACGCACAAGCCCCAAAGCCTGAAAGCCCTGAACAAGTTGGGCAGACAGCCAGGGCATGCATCTTGGAGTTTATTGGATATGTGGGGTTTTCGACGGTTCATGGTTTATTCCAGGTCCTGTAAATCTCCCATTCGCTATTATTTCTAGGGTCCATATACTGGCCCTCAGTTGTCTCGGACTCCCATAAAGGATCTCAATCAAGATGGCAGGCAAAGGCATGCACACCCGCTTTTTCACCGAGATTCTCAACAGGCCGTTGACTTGCGGGTCCAAGGTCTTGGATGCGAGGGTTCAACATTCAGTTTAGGTTGAGAGCGGGCTGATTTTATAACCTTGTGCCCCAGAATGGGAGCAACAAGGCTGTTGAGCGCAGCGGGGCTATTCTGGGTTTCTTCGCCAAATCTCTCAGCTGTGAGGCATCACTGGGTCGAGTCTTGTCAGGCAAGTACAGTGTCGCACTCAGAAAGCGCCGGCTTACGGCTTTGGGCTTGCAGGCTTCCGGATTCCTTGCAAGCGCAGCCCGAAAGGCTTTCCGCGGTAGTTCTGCTTTTTCGCTTTGAGTGATTCGTCCTTTTTGCCCGCTAAGCAATCTCCCAAGAGGCAGGAACAGAGTGACCAACTCCTAGCCAAGGCTAGGGCCGTCCTTGCAACATGTGGGTTTTCATGATGAGGGCAAAAGGGGAAATCAATTCCAGCTAAGGCTTTCCAGTCGTTGGGGTTGCGAGTCAGGGAACAGGGGTGGCGCCCCTCCAGAAGACCTTCAGCAATCTGCGGGCTACCCTATTCCATTCAGGGGGTCCCAAGAGACCCAAACCCATCCTAAACCTAGGCCCCAAAACATTAGAAGCCCCTGACAAACCCTAAACCCCTCACCCGCTATGTCCGGAAGTTCAGACCGGAACTTTCCCAGCTTTTGCAAGATGAGGTCATGTACATCGACAGCGGTCTTTTCACCGTCTATGCGTCCCGTGCTTATCTTCTTTGGGAATGGAGGTCTGTACGATCGTGGTGATGATGTCGCCTTTGAAATTGGGCTGAGCATAGGACTTCGGAGGTGTTGTGGAATTCGTGCGGTTGAACATGATTTGAGTCCAGTACTGGAGTGCTTGACACCCTAAGCCCCATATTTCGAAGTCCTAAACCTCATTGGACCAGGTCCTTGCTTCTAATTCTAGCAGAGCCTGCAGGGTCGAAGAATCGGTTCCCTGAGAGTCGCCGGAGATTGACATTAAACTCCAAAGCTAAAGCGTCACTACCATCGCTACTAGGCTACTGTGATTGCTACTACTATCAATGCATTATTGCTCAATCCGAAGACCGACGAAGGGGAGGGAGGAGTTTACCAAAGAACCTGCCGAAAACCCAAGCATTGTTCCCATGTCTGCCCCGAGGACGACCGTCCCCAATGGGGCAAAGGACTTCTGTGATGTGCTGGCCAGGGTCTTTGAGGCACCCGTAAGTGGGAAGGGAAGCGCTGAGACTCCAGGTTAGTACAGTGCGCCACTACAAGGGTTTCATATACGGGTTATAGCAAGGTCGAGGGCCTGGGTTTCAAGGTTATGGTTTGGAGTCTCTTGGTTTTCAGGTTTTGGGTTCGAAATTGGGAGTCAGGGTTTTGGGCTCTCACCCTTCCTCCCCGAGTCTTCTGCAGCTCCTCAGCCTTCAGCCTCAGTCAACTCAATCATGTCCGAATCATGGGTCGCTATGCATGACAGTGCAGAATCAAACTAGTCCCTGCTTGTAAGTATTTCAGTGTCTATACTTGGGTAGACACGGCAAAGTTCTCAGGGCGTGAAGGTGATGACCCAGCTGGAGTTGGACCGTGCAAAGAACGCCCTGTCCTCCAGTGCCCCGGGAAAGGGCAGCTTCCAGTACATCCCAAGAAGCTCTCAATGCTGGTGTCCAGGGGGTTTGCGGGACCCTCAAAAAACCCAAGAAGTGCAGGTATCCACATGAACCTGGAGATGCCTGGGCCCGAGTTTGTTTTGGGAAGCCTGTTGCATATAGACCCGTAAACCGAAACCCTCCTTAAATGATCACCGAACCCGAAGAAAGATACTCCACCGATAGCGGTTTCGTTTCGGGTATTCCGGGATCGACGGCCAGGCGGGCCGTGATGATGGAGGACCTCGGTCGACAGATGGTTTTGTCCGGCAAGGCGCGCGGTAGAGTTTCGGGTGTTCTGCGTTCAGGTGTTCGTTCCCGGCGGTCTTTCAGTGGTTGTGAGGAGCCTATATGAGATGACAGAAGAATACAGCGTAGATTGGAGAAAAGATGCAAACGTTGTGATGCAGATGGAGGTACCGGTATAGGCATAGATTCATATACAAAAATAAAATAGTTGGGCCCCAGCGGCGCCGCTCCTCCCCCCAATGGTATCTCCCCATTTGGTCATCCCCCCCGCCGTGAAACAGCTTGTGCCTGTGGTCATACCCCCTCCGCCCCTGTGGAACGGCTGGGGTCTTGAGCTTCGGAGTTCCCCCTCCCCCTCCCCGGCTCTCTCTGGAGACAGGGGCCCTCCACCGCTTCGGGAGGAGGCGGGCGAGGGGGGGGGGGCCCAGAACGCAAGCCCCAAGCCCGCCAAGCTGACTACTGAAAGCCTCGACTCTGAAGACCTTGAACCACGAGACCCCTGAAGCCCAAGAGCAGCAACCCTGCAGAAGGTTGGCACTGCCAAGGAGTTCACCCGCATGGTGGAAGAAGTTGAGAAGGACGCTGACGAGATAGCACTCTAAATATCCTTAAACTCTGAACCCAAACTCTGTGCCGTGAAGACCCTTAGCCTTGAGCTTAAGTGCTCTCCAGCTCAGTGCCGGCTTTCCTCCGAAGCTGAGAAGGGTCACTGCACTTGACGACTTTCAGGGGCGAGGGTCTTTAGGGTTTTGGGCGGTGTCGGGTTCAGGATGCAGAGTTTTAGGGCCTAGGTTGAGGGTGTTCAAGTCTGCCATTTGCAGCATGCTACTTTACGACGAGTACTCCGAGGATTATTTCGAATTGTGTTCTCCAGTGTCTTACCTGTGTTTATCACGGCACGTGGTCACCAGGAAGACCTGATCGAGGTCATGCGAGTGGGCAGGGATCTTAGCACAGGGATCTTAGCACACCTAGTGCACCGGCTGCAGATCTGTCTTGTCATCTCTCTTTTCAAAATACTTTCCAGGGTTTGGCTTGCAAGTGCCTGGGTCTGTGTCCTGCATTCTGACACACGGATCGGAGCAACCATTCCTGCTTGGCCGAGTACTCGCATCGCGCCCAAGCATCGTGGCTTTCGGCGCCATCGACAAGGCCTGCAGCTGGCTTTTGCAGATTGCACGTTCACGGCTTTTCTGAATCTTCCCTTGTCTTCTCTCCATCGGTTGGTGGCTCCCAGTCCTAGGGCTGTAGCCTGCCAGACCTGTCATCGCACACGAAGGGAAGCAGGACGGACAAGAAAGCTTAAAAGGAAGCTTTACAAGGCCTTGGGGGCCTAGTATCGGGCCCCCGTCCAGGTGCCGCCCTTCGAGGTCATCGAACAGAAGCAGCAGCCTCGATTCGTCAGAGGGCGCTCTGAACCTCAGAACCCTGAAGACTTGAGGCTTCAGCTCGGACACTCCAATGTCATGCTTACAAGCGGTACCGCAGCATGCTCCAACAAGAGGAGTTCAGGACTACGCAGTGCAGCTTCAGGGCTCAAGCAAAGGCACCCTGAGTTCATATTTACATCTTGATACACGGGCTCTGGCGAGCCGGTGTGTAGGGCTCCTTCAGAGCATTGGTGAGCGCATATTTGGGAGTGTCCTTGCGGGATACTAGTAACAAGCCTCTGAAATCCCCAGGGCTTTACAATATAGAGGTCTGAGTCAGTAATGAAAGCAGTTCACCGTCTAGTCCCTAGTATAGAATACCCTCAGAGTCCTGGTCCGATCTAAAGATCTGCAAAAGTCGTTATAGAAACTCTTTCCGAATTCATGTCAGGGCTTTTGCGATGAGGAAGGACCCCTCAAGGAGGATAGGAAGGCGCCCTTGAGAGGGAAGCCACAGGAAGGTCCCCCCCTGTTCCGCCACCTGTCCTCTGAGGTTCAAGGGCGTGAGACTTCCAGTGTCGAGGAAGCACAATCCGCAGGATCGGCAGGATCAAGCGAGCTAGGGGCTGCGGAGCAGAGGGCTCGCCTTAAGCTAGGGGTCTCTATCACTGAGGGTCCGAACCTGCACCAGGCAAAAGGGCACTGCAGCATTCTACATCAGATTCGCGACTTGCGTCAGGGCACAGTTCATGGCTCTCATGGGCTAGGAGGGAGAACTGCACAGGTTTCAAACACACCCGACTTAGACTTTGTGACACAGTCAGACATTGTGCCACAGTTCAGGCCTTGAAGCCTTGGACTTAGTAGGCCGCCGTTGGCGGGCGAAAAATTTCGTCTGAGATGCTCTGCCCCTCCTCGCAGCTGGCTGGAGCACTGTAGGTCTAGGTGTAGGGTCCGGGGGATTTTGGGATCTTGCGGTGCTCGATTTTCCCAAGGACCACCGGTTGAAGCTGAGGCAAAAAGGACCAGACACGACGATGAACCGTAGAACTACGACACATGATGCATTATAGATAGATGGATGGATGGATGGATGGATGGATGGATGGATGGATGGATAGATAGCCAGACAGACAGACAGACAGGCAGCCAGCCAGCCAGCCAGCCAGCCAGCCAGCCAGCCAGCCAGAGAGAGATATTCACTAGAATGCAAGGACACATGCTAAGGACTGCGGGTTTGCGCTCGCGTGTCTGCAAAAATGTATATGTACATATATCACACATAAGAGCAACAACCAAGAGCCGACAGATAGGTGTATACATGATGATAACAATACATGAACAGATGTCGTGCAGAGAGTTTATCCGCAGACTTTCGACACTCCATGCGGTGCTACCTCGGTTCCCGGCTGCAGTTGCGATAGCCTAACGGTTAAGCATAGGCTTAATTGGGCCAGCCGGGCCCACAATGACCATTGGAAGCTGCAGCAGTCAGTTCGCAATACTGCCAGAGGCACGCAGCTGTTTCGCTGAGCCGGGCTAGCCTGCCTGTCTGGCATGATGCTTGAAATCCTAGACATTGGCTAGCCTTAAACCTCAGGCCTTAGACCATAACCGAATCCGAAACTTTGGACTGTTCTAATGTCAAAGCCACAAAACTGCTTGATGCTGCACCCACACTGCCCGCAAAAAGGTCAGGTGCCGAAATAAATCCTAAACCGTCAGCTAGATTTCCGAACTCCTGCAGAGTGAGTCTCCAAAGAAAGTCCGAGGTCCAACAAGACCTTGATTCTGAAACAGTGGTTGCAAGCTCCCAGTCGGAAACTCAAAGTCCCCTAAATAGCAGAGACGTCCTGGTGCCATGGAAGCATCGGGGCTTGGCTTGTGCGATGTGCCTTTCTTAGCATTTCTCTCACGCGCATGCGCACGCAACGAGGAGACGCGGGTCCTGATGCCTTGTATATGGGTCATGCCAGGGTTTGGGGTTTGCGAATGCGGGCTGGGGTGTCGGTCCTTCAGCCGTAGGTTGTAGAATGTAGGCTTGAGCATTTGCTGCCTTGGGCTTTGATTTAGGTTGTGAGTTTAGCTGTGCGTGACTTGGTCTGAAGTTTACATCAGGCCTCAAACATGAGAGATCAGTGGCAGGTCTTTAACGAGGGGCACTTCATTGCTTTGGCAATGACTGCTGCCAGTTGTAGGCTCAGTCAGCTGCATGGCAAGATCTCCCTTCAGATCGAAATCCTCAACCACAAACCTAGGAATTCCAATCTTCAACTGGAGCCAGCTTTCCCCAGGCCTCCCCCAAGCTCACGCAATTAAGCCCCAGAGCTTTACAACCCGAAGCCCCAAAGCTCCTCCACCGACTAATGCTTCACTTGCAATGACCCCCTCACTTCTACTTGTCAAGGCCCTGTCATCAACTCCTTGAAAACGCCTTTTCATCCCTTATGAAAGCCAATGAACCCTATATGGCCCTACTCATACAGCCCCTACAGCCGTTTCCAAGGCCTCCATGCCTCGTGAGGCTGCCACGGCCTTCGAGAAGTGGGCTCGGCGGCCCAGATTTCTCGGGCTTCTGTTGGTTTTCTCAGGGTTTAGGCCTTTGAAAGTGCAAGGTTTTGGACTCGGGTCTCTGAGTGCTGGCTTCATAGCGCGGTCTGGGGCTTAGGGTTCCGAGTTAGTTTGATCGAGGGCCTTTGGGCGATGCCTTGTTTGTTGTCGCAAAATGCTTTATGTTCGTTTCGCAGCCGCTGGACCCGAAACCACCTGAAACCTCAAATGTTGAGCCCTGAAGCATGAAAACCCGGAAGCTTCAAGGCCCAAAGCCTTAAGGCCCTAAACCCTACCCTAAACCCTAAACCCTATCGGGGTCTCATTTTTTGGTCTTCCTTCCTGCTCCAGGCTGCCGAGAAAGTGCGCCATCCCGCACTCCCCAAGCTCGCGGCGCCTGGGGCCTCGGCTTTGTGGTGTTTTCAAAGGGAGGCCTCTATGGAAAGGTAGGTATCAGTAAACTGTTCCATGCTTCTATGCCGAATCCGGCGTTTAGAGGGTTGTTAATCGTTACGGGGCTTGGTAGGGTTCGCTGAGGGTTTCCGCGGGGTTGAGGGGTGTAGGGTTTTCAGGTTGTAGGCTGCAGGGTTGCGGGTTGTGGGGTTTGGGGCTTCGAAATCCAGGGTGCAGGGTGTAAGTTGGGGTTCTGGAAGAGGGTGTGGAGGCCTTGGGCTTCATAGCATCTGGCGGTTTACTGTACCCCTAAACACCCTAAACACCAGAGGTCAATACTCTTCTATACATACTCTGAACTACACCCTAACTTGCAAGCTCCTTTCACCTGCCAGTCCTAGGAGCTTTCAACTGCGTCGATCCGACTCGCCAGGAGCTCAGCCGAGAGAACCGTAAGCTTAGCCGCTGGACTTCTATTAAAGCCATCAAGTAAAACCTCTGCATAGTTGCAATTTCGAACCCGAAGAAAAGGACGGCCATGACCCTTAGCTGATTAGCTAGGTCACGCATCTTGTTCGCAGCGTTTCAGAACTTGTAGAGGTTTGGTGATTTGTGGTCCTTGATTCTTGCTTGGAAACCAGCGCCCATGCAAGATAAACTTTGGCGCTGCTCGGATTCTGTCTGGGGTCTTCAACGCATCCTCGATCAAATTATCGCATCACCCAACAACAACACGCTCAAGATCCCTCAACCCCAAATCGTTCCCTCAACTAGGCCGCAACGATGTGGGAGTTTCCTATAGATCCTAATTTGTAGGATCACGATTGCTCAAGATTTAAGATGCAAACCCCCATGTCCCCCTTTCGGCGAGGCTCGGGGTCCATGCTGTGGCGAAGAGCGCCATTGCTACGGGACAGGTGATCATTGCAGAGGACCCTATAAAGGATCAGGGGACTAAGTAAGGTGTAGTTATGATTCCTCATATATGCGACCAGGGCACGAATGACCCCGCCCACGAAGTCCACTAAGCCGTAAACTTTAAAGTACACCCAGGCTACGGTACGAAGTCCCCTTTTCTGTGAGGTACGCTCAGGCTACGGCTTTGCCCACATCTCCGCTTTAGTAGTCAAACAAGCAGCCATCAGGATGCGCTGATACGACTTCCCTCCCCGCGCATGGCAAGCAGGCTGTTGCGGACACTTCGCATTGAGGTTTTCGAGCTATCTCGGAGCTTGCTGGGGCCATTGTGGTCATCCTATAGTTCCGTATTTTCTTCGAGTACCACGTACTTGGAGTTGGCTCCTTGCAATTGGTAGCACTACTGGTTGCAGAAGCCGAGACAGGAGCATCCTCCAGCGTTACGGCGAGCTGGAGGCATGCCCAGTGACATCGAATACAGTATCCCAACCCTCTGTTCGGCAAGTATGGGATAGTGGGAGGACTGCACGTAAGCTCAAGCCCTGTCTTGAATTCTGAAAGTGCCCCTATTTTGGCCAGGACAGAAGTCCGATATGCTTCGAAGTGAACTCTGATTTCCAGTAACCCGAAGCTGCGAGAACGAAAGCATCCCTCCGTGGCATTCATCAGAGCGAGACCTGCTGAAATGATGCTGATGGTGATTTCGGTGCGGAAGAGGAGGAGGAAGACGACCACATGTTTATCATGGGCACCGATGACGGTGATGCAGATGATGAGATATGTATGTCATGTCACTTTTGTCGTACCCGCCAACATCACTCCTGCGACTGGCTTTCGTCCATGACCCCATGACGCGTTTTGAACCCTGTACAACTCCTGGACACCTTTTGAGCATCCTCTAAACTTATACAGACCCTCTTCGGGGTCCAAGAACAGCCTCCAGGATACGCTATGACTCCCGGTGGTTGTGTCTGAAATGGTCTGCGGCGGCTCACCACAGTCACTCTGCAATCTTGTTTTAGGCCCCGGGCGTTACGCAGAGCGGAGGCCTAAACCCATAATCCCTAAACTAGGGTCCTGTGTTTCGAGCTCAAGAAGCGCTGGAAATTGCAAGATCCCTCTACCAAGACCCTGCAAAGACTCTCGAGTCTCGACTCAACCGTGAAGCTTTTCCTTTCCATTCGAAGTCGCATTCAGAATGAAGGATGCTTTTGGGCCGAATTCCAGAAAATTTCACATCCTTCGCCCTAAGCCTTACAGTCCTAAGCCCCAAATCCTGAACTTGGCAGGGTTTCCTGACCCCTGCCATCTGCGTGGACTGGAAGTCCACTTCCCAGGCTGGGATCTGCATATCCGACAGGATACCCAGAGAGCCCCACGAGCCCCAACGCCCTCAGCACCTACAAGAGGTTGAACGAATGAGTACGTGATCAGTTCCCCATTTAAAGGTTTCAGATGGTGATTCTGACAGAGAAAGGTTCGGGAACAGTCAGTGCCACATTCCCGTTAGTCTAGCCCCAACATGATCGTATTTTAAGATCCCCCACCGCCCACAACCCCAGTCTCATCATTGAAACCCATGTTTGTAGTGAAGGAGGCAGTCCTGCTTGCGAGATTCCCCGAGTCTGGCCTGTTTGGGCCTGTCACTTCGGAGCCAGAAGGATTCGTCCAGGTCTGCGTAGAGAGGCCCAAGGTTTTCAACCTTTGGAGGCGTAGGATCAAAGCGTGGAAGAAGCTAGGTTTAAGCACCAATTTCTAAAGA